TTCTTGTTTTCTATTTTAGTTATTCATCGCATACTAAATTTAACCAAACAAATTAGTCCGAAAATGTATAGACATCACAAATATATAATATTAATTATAATTTACAGTAGCTTATATCTGTGATAGACATTCTAATATCTAATGCATTCTCCTGCCGGAGGCCATACTCCATAGACCCAGTTCAGGGGAAGTTAAATTTTTACCTACAAATTTATAAAAAAAAAGTGGTTGGGGCAAGAAACTTTATGATTTTCAAACTGATAAATAATTTCTCATGACTATAAATAACGCAAAAAGAGTCAAAATAGTTTGAAAATTTTACCATGTATGGAAAATTCAAGTATAAATATTTTTTACTTTTTTGTTACAGGTGGAAAAGTGTATGTAAGTTCACAAAATGTATGTAAGTTAACAACAAACATAAGTTGTCTAACTTACCCTACCAATAATATCACTATATAAAATAATTAAAAGTGATAATTTGAAGACAATTTCTTAAAACCCTAGAATATTTTTTTAATTTAGTGTCTAAACCATATAGTTTAGCACCCAAGCAAATTTTTCAATTTTTTTTTTTTGGAAACCTATGATTTGCAACCAGTTATAAGATTTATGATGAAAAAATTAATTCACGGAAATCATTAGTTGTTATCGCATAACCTTACGAAGTTCACGATTTTCGGTGTTTTACGCACCCGTACAACGCTTAAAGTTTACCTAGCTTAAGTAGGTATAACAAATAACAATTTTTTTAACCTAGTTAAATCAACGTCTTCAGAATGATGGTGCAAAAATAATTCATAACAAGTTGAGGGATGTTTTTAATTATAATTGTCCGAGCGAGCACAGCGTGCAAGTGAATACGTTTGTGAGACCAATGAGAAGGCCGTATTTGCGTATGGGTTTTATTTGATGTGCGGAATGTTAATATGCCGCCGGGACCATAGGTTTAGTAATCCTTATAAATAAAAATTAATGTAGCTTTTTTCCGCACTCGTAAGTAATAACTAATAATATTAATTTAATAACAATATCATGACTATTGACTATCGTCTACGAGCGGGACAAATTAGAAATTATAGTTATATAAAATTTATGGAACGATTTATCCGTACGAATGCAGTTTAGCTCCCAAGCGATTTTTTGGAATTTTTTTTTTTTAAATGTTTGTTTTCGCATGCCTAATTTGATGGTACTTTAAAAAAAACCGGTCGAACTTATTTTGGAAGCTATGGTCAAAAAACTTCAAAATGCTAAATTTTTTCAAAAATCGTGTTTTTGAATTTAAAATACAAAAAATTTAAGTTTTTAGAATTTTTTTTTTAAATGTTTGTATTTATATACACTACATTTTGGTGGAATCAGAATTTTCCTATCGTACTTACTTTTTACGTTATTGTAAATAAACCTCATACAACTGAATTATAAAGTTATTTCATATATTTCAATATTTGCATATTTGAAAACTCAAAATTGATTTGTTTGACTTTTTTTTCATTCGATGACTAATAACATAAATAAGTTTTTGGTGAAATCAGAACTAACTTATATTTTTTGGTTTGGAAGAAATTGGTTTACACGTTGGATCCTCTAGTGTTTTCGGAGCAGAGTCCGCGTAGCCTCGCCAAAATTACGTACTGTCGACAAAGGCGCCCCGGGATACGTTACCAATGTCGAATACCCGTTGACAATGGTATTGAACATGTTAAAAATAATAAACAATAAAAAATCAAAATGTACAGATTTAGATAATGTGTATTATATTATATCAATATTTTCGTCATCAGAAAAGTCGATCCCATCGTTGTTGTATTTATTTGGATCGTATAAATTACCGGCTAAACGAAAAAATTCAATAACAGGATCTAGATTCACCAGGCCAAAAGAAATAAAAAAAACCCGATGGGGGGGGGGGCATAGGTAAATTAATAGAACGATTAAAAATTACAATGTCAAACTATTACCTGTACATTACTTGTACATTTTGATTTTTTGTTGCTTATTATTTTAATCTATATCTTCCAAACCAAAAAATATCACCAAAAAGTATTTATGTTATTACTCATCGAATGAAAAAATCAATTTTGAGTTTCTCAAATATGCAAATGTTTGAAATAACTTTATAATTCAGTTTTACTTGGTTTATTAACAATAACATAAAAAGTAAGTACGATAGGCAAATTCTGATTCCACCAAATTGTTGAGCATATAAATACAAACATTTCTAAAAAAAAAAAATCGAAAATCTTAAATTTTTTGTATTTTAAATTCAAAAATACTATTTTTAAAAAAATTGAGCATTTTGAAGTTTTTTGACCATAACTTCTAAAATAAGTTCGACCGGCTTTTTTTGAAAATACCATCAAGTTATAGGCATGCAAAAACACACATTTTTTTTTTTGTCATATTTATTTTATTTGTACAATCTGTATAAAAATAATTACAATAAGCACAATGGACGGATAATACATTATAGGCCATTGGTCATGGTTGGCTTGATGAAGAAGCTATTCATTAATAGCACTTCATGACGGGATGGTGGACTAGTCAACTAGTCGACTAGTCGACTAGATGAGAGGGTTTCGGTGATTTGAAAGTTTAAGGTGGAAACGTTTGTATAGGGTTTTGGCTACGTTTTTTACTGTCGGAATGAGGAGGTCCTTGTGGAGGGTATCATTTGATACATAAAAAGGAGCTTTAGTTATCTGCCTGAGGCATTTAGATTGAAATGTTTGGATTCGGCTTATATTGGAGTCTTTGGCTGATCCCCAGAGTTGAATTACATAGGACCAGATAGATTTGAGGAGTACTTTATACATAATGATTTTATTGTGTAGTGAGAGATGTTTGGATGACAGGAGGAGGCTAAGTTGTCTTTAACAATTATTTAGTACAAGTCGTTTGTTACGTATGTGGGTAACCCATTTGAGTCGGCGAAACACATTTTTAAAAAAAAAATTCCAATAAATCGTTTGGGAACTAAACTGCATTTATGCTCTAGTTATAGTTATATAAAATTATAGTTAAATATAGAATTAAGAATAAATACTCAAAATAATTGAAATTTAGACGGTAGTAAGGTACCTAGTACCTACCTATCTATTATATTATTAATTAGAGTTTAGACCGGGGATTTTCAACATATTTTACTTGATCCTTTAATAATTTTTCACGACTCACCAAAGAAATAAATACCAATAAGTACATATTTTTGACGGTACAAACTGGTAAGTCCGGATTAAGGATCATCAATTGGGCTCCGGGGCACAAACACTTAGTGGGCCCCTTTTCAACTTTAACTTCAAAATAATTGTATCTATATTAACGACTTCATATTATTGTATAATTTTTTACTATACAAAAAATATACAGGATGTATACTGTATCTTATGTCATTGCACCCGCGTTTTTTTTTTAAAATAATTATGGATCGATGATATGGAATTTCGTTAAAACAAAAAAAAGACGTAGTGTTTCTTCTTTTTTTTTTTATAACATTTTCAAAATGTTTAAACACGCAATTGTACCAATAATAAAATCGACTTTATTTTTTCAAATGGTAACCACTATATTTTTTGATGGATTCTGATAAAACTTTTTTTCTGAACATTATGACAGTCAAATGATCAATTTTGGTTCACTAGATTATTAAATTAACTATATTATAGTATAATATACCTATATAGTACCTACATTAATACTTTTAACTGAAATACCTAATTTACAAGAGCTAAATAATTTTTTCTTATAGCTACCTTTTTATATACTTAAATAGTAAAATCGATAATCTACAATGCTAAAAAAAAAAAAAAAAACAAAATTGTTGGAAAGAAAACATAGTTCATTATTTATAGTACCTAATTTTTCGTGATATAAAATTGAGGACAATTTTTTTTATGATTATTAATAATAATTTACCTACCTACTTAGTCATTTTTAGATTCTGAGTGGAACGATGAATGTATTGATTTTACAATGATGTGTGTTTTTATATTTTTTTTTTTTTTGTGTCTGTGTACACGATAGGTAGTCGAAATATTGCTTCGATTTTCAACTTCAGTATCTTATTCGATTTGAAAGTGAATATCGTTGGTGCATTGGGAGGTCAAAAATTCCCAATAGTTTTCATAAGCGCCGGGAAAAACAACATAAAAATTATGGAAAAACGGGAATTTTTACGCAAAATCGGTTTTTGACAAAATTGAATTTGGTTTTTGGTGTAACTTTAAAATAAATTACCGTAGATTCATGAATTTTTCACTGGTTGTTTATATTTGCATTTTCTATACACGATAACATTTTCAAAATATTGGGAATCTGAAGTAGATAATGTTTTTCGTTTTTCGCAAAATTTGACGGCACAAATAGTCATTTTTGAAATACGGGATATTGTAAAATATTGTATCAAACAAATCTGACAATATAAATAAAAAAAAACATTATATTTTTCGGAATAAAAAACTACCTCAATCGAAAATTCAAAAAACAAACGGAACAGTAACTGTTGTAGAACACCAAACACCAAAAGTCAGAAACTCAGAACCACCAAAGGCAAAACTGAAAACACTGAAACACGTGAAAACACTGAAAACAGTGAAAACCAAAAGTCAGAGTCCATAACAAATAACAATATGTTTGTTTTCGTCAACGGTCCCATATAGTCCGTGATTGTCGCTATGTTCTTATCAGACTGTTATGTTCTTATCAAATTTATCATTGAGATTTGAGACTTGATTCACAGAACAGTTCTGTGCTTGAGTTGCCTTTCTTTAATAAGTCTTTTCTATTGTACTTATTACACAGGCATTTTGTGCTTAATGCTTAATATGTTTTTAATTTTTATCTCGAACTATCAAAACACAACTGCCATAAGTGCATAGTGTTCATACACGATTAACAACATAACACAACATAAGATCTATTCTGTGATAAGATGAAATAAATTATAACGCTTATTAAGAAATAAACTATAAAAACCACGAACAAAGATATTAGTAAAAATGAATCCATTAACGTAAGTACAACATTTTTAATCTATTGTTTCTTACATAATATTAAACGTTTATACTTAATGTTTTTTTTTCTAATTTTATTTTGTTTATTCTACACAGTAACATAAAGTTATAGTTAAATTCGAGGGGGTGCTAAACTAGATTTATACCAAAGTTATCATTATTTATAAAACGTAATACATTTTCAAGATATGTACCTAAATTTCCAAATCCAATATTAAAAAAATGTTAAATCATATTTATAATAGTACCTAAGTATATCCAATATAAATATAAATATTAAAATTCCATTTAAATAAAAATATATTTATACACAAGCAGAAATATATTAACTCCAACCAGACTACTTGATACATTTTACAAATTTAACAATTTAACGATAAGAAGCACTAAAACAATTGGGTGCCCCTTGATAATTTTAAAAGTATTCTAAACAGAAATTATTTGGTCATTAAATTAATTGAATTAGAATTAATTTAATATATTTGTTTATAACAATTATTAGGTAGTTAAAAATAAAATATTGTTAGGCACCTACTTATATTTCATCAAAACTGGGATGGCGTGATGTGGATGACCACTAATAAAAACTGCTGAAGTTTAATATTAAATTTATTACTGTTCCAAGTTATTGAAAATACATCATACATTTTACATTTAGGTATGACAATTATTAGATATATAGGTACTAAATAGTTGAAGGGTTAGGGGACTAAGACCTATATTTAAGACTTTTGGGTGGGCTTTAGTCTCCTCAAGCCCCCCTCTCGATTTCCTCCTATGTTTATATAATTATAATTAAAAATTGTTTTGTATTAAATCTTATTATCTGTAACTTTTGTAATAAGTATTTAAAACTTAAAATATTTCAAATATATATATTAATGTTTTATGACAAAAATTAGCTTTATCAACCATATTACTAATAATGAGGGCTTGGATTTGAAGGAAAATGCCTTTTTTTTTATAATAATAGAAAAATAATTTTTATATCAAAATGTATTTCATTTAATTTCTAAGATAATGTTTGAATAATTTTTTTTTTTTACTTTTTTATTTATAAATGCCTTTGCTTTTTCTTTTTCTTTTAATTTTATTGGGTCTAATTTCCAATTGATCCGATAGTTATATACATATTAACAGTACAATTCTATTAGAGCTCCGATGACGCATTGTGGATATTATGTTTAAAATTATTTTTAATGGGTGATATACTGATATTTATCGATATTGCTAAATAGTAAATACCTTATAGAGTAATTGGTATGGCAAGTTATTAGTTAATTTAACCTTAATGGATGACAAAAGTATCCATAGGTACCTATTACTTATTGATAGATTAAAATGTTTGTTAAGTTATTATTACAAAAATGCTCTTTTTCCCCATTTTGAGTACTTTTTTAGTTCTTTAAAATATCTTAAAAACCAAGCTCAACTAATAATAATATACATGCCATCTCCACTTCTGCACTCCTATTATTTGTTCTATTTGTTATTCACTGTTGCTGAATATATTTAAGGGTTCAAACTCCAAAATAAAAAATTTAAATAAACATTATTTGGGTTACCTAATTCTAATGTTAAATCAGGATGAAATTATTTGAAAACTGTGTATCTAATTTTTTAATTTAGAATATTTTTTTTAGAATATCATTTCAGGTCATAAAATACAACTGATGGACAAAATATTAATAGTCATAGATCATTTCTGTTTGGTTAAACAAAATAAACCTAAAAAAAATGTCATTCAAATATTGAAAATTAGTTCTTATTCAAAACGTAATTTTACAAAATGATATTGAAAATAAAAGTATGTATAATAAAAATATATGTATCATAAAATCACAAGATATATAAATAAATTACCAAAAAAAATTTTAAATATGCAAAGTATATGAACTAAATTTGGTATTATTTTAATAAGAAGAATGATTTTTAATTTTTATAAATTGCAAAATATGCGTCAATTATTAAGATAGAACTTTAGTTCTCCAGTATTTTAAATCACTATTTTTTTTTAATTTAAAATTTCAATTCTTTTTATAAAACATAAAATGTCAGTATAATTTATATTAATAGTAATATAAAATATAAACATTTTAAAATATTATAAATTATATTGCCTACCATTTAATTTTCATCCGTCAAAATTAATTTTTAAATAATATAAGTAAACTATGGCTAAATAAATTGTTATAACTAGGGAAAGGATTTTAATTTAAATAAATATTTTTATGTAATAATAGCATCGGAAAGTTTTCGATATATGTATACGTTTCATTTAATTTCAAGTAATCTGATGCTAATTTTATTTTAAATATTTTTAAATATTTAAGAATATTTAAATATTTTTAAATATTTTAGAATAATTAAATTTTTTTACAAATGAATACATAAATTATGTAATATTGTAGAATTTCCGTGTATATTTTAATTATTTTACAAATAAATATACATATTCTATATTATTGAAGAATTTCCATTTTTATTTTAGTATTTTGCGATACGATTAGGTCTCTGTACTGTACACTTTTGACATCAAAAAAATATTTTTAAAAGCGCCAAGTCGTATAAAAACATTTAAAGATATGTACCCGGATTTAACTCTACCTCCCGAGCCTATTATAACTCGATGGGGTACGTGGTTATCAGCTGTATTATATTATTCAAATAACTTTGAAAAGATTAGAAACGTTGTCTTAAATTTAGATCCCGAAGCTACAATAGCAATAAAAAAAACTGTTGAGCTCATAGACAGTAAAAATTTGCAAAACAATTTAGCATTTATTTCGACTAATTTTGGATTTTTGGTTGATACTATTTCAAAATTAGAAACTTCTAAAATGCCACTAACGGAGAGCTTAGAAATAGTTGATAATGCCATAAAGCAATTAGAACGGGTTCCTGGAGAAATTGGAGTTTTGACCAATTCAAAATTAAAAAATGTATTGGAAAAAAACACAGGTTTTAATACTGTAATGTCAATAAGAGACATACTATTAAACAAAACTCCAAATAACAAATATTCAGAAATTGAATACACTCCAAAAGAAATAATGTGTATGAAATATGCACCTGTCACGTCCGTTGATGTGGAGAGGTCATTCAGCCGTTACAAAGCAATGTTAAGACCGAACCACCGCCACTTTACATTTGAAAATTTCAAGCTATATGTTGTTTCTAACTGTTTCCCACATGAAGACTATGATGAATCAGAATAGATTTTAATTTTTTTATATTTTTAATTAATTATTTAATAATTCTATGTTATTTTCAATTTAAATATTTAAATATTATACATTTATAAATAAATATTTATTAAGTAATAAACAAATATATATTTAAATATTTTTAATTTTATACTAAATTAAAATCCGTTCCCTAGTTATAACTCCTGTTAGGCAAATGTACTATTTTAACAATTGTTGGGGACAAAACATCTCTGGACTGGTTTTTTTGAGGAGGAAAAAACGTCTGTTTATCTATTGTAATTATGCACATTTCTTATCAAATTTAAAATAGCTTTTTTTAATAAAGACTTGAATATAAATCCATAAATACCAACCTCGTTATAGGTATATGTGTAATGTGTATAACATATACTTTTTTAAAATAAATTTAAAATGTTTTATTTTATTACGATTGTCAAAATTAACTGTATTATAGTTTATATGATCTATTTAAATTTCGATGTATAACATGTTTAACTGGTGATTCACATGTGGATCGTAATTTGTAAGTAACGCACCAATGAAAACCATTTACGTATGATATGTACAGCTGTTAAAATTTACCTAACTAAAATATATATAAAAAAAACTTTTTGAAATATATTTTCTTTTCTAATCATATATTTATCAAAATAATATTAAATAGTTAAGCTTTTTAAAAGTAAAAATATTCACTTATTTAAAATTATGTCTAGTACATTAACATTAATAAAATTATATTATGATATCGACATTATTTTACATAAATACTGTTTAATGTAATATTCATTGTATACAGTATATCCATGTATTTTATTCTTTCAGAAATATGAGAAATGTAAAAAAACTCAGTGAACAAGAATTGCAACGATTACCTAAAAGTTCTTGGCATGATGAATATAAATCAAGTGCATGGATATTTGTTGGAGGATTACCTTATGACCTTTCTGAAGGCGATCTTATGTCTATATTTTCTCAGTAATTTAATTTAATTTACTTATTAACTAAAATTATTGAATAATTAATAATTTTTTTTTTAATTTTAGATATGGGGAAATCACTAATCTAAATTTGGTACGGGATAAAGACACTGGCAAACAGAAAGGATTTTGTTTCGTTTGCTATGAAGATCAAAGAAGTACAGTATTAGCGGTAGATAACTTCAATGGTACACGTGTACTAGGTCGAATATTACGTGTTGATCATGTTAAAGATTACAAACCTCCAAAAAACTCAGAACCTACTAATAAAATTAAAACTGAAAAATTAGAAGATGATATCCAGGTTAAAACAGAAAATAATGAGGAAATATTTTTGCCACAATTTCAAAGAACAATTAGCGCTCCAGAAATCAAACGAGAAGTCTGCACTCCAGAAATAAAGCGAGAAGTTTGTACTCCAGAAATAATTAAAAGTCCTGAATATGAAAGTAATAAAAAAATAAAAAAATCTAAAGATAAGAAAAGGCACCATAGTGATCAAAGAGAAAGGTCAAGAGAAAAACATAGAAAAAAACATAACAAAAGTGAACGTGATATATCTAGTAAGAGAGAGAAAAGTAATAAACGATCTATGCACAGTCAAAGTCAAGAGAAGGATGTTGACAGAGATTCTAAAACTAAATCATCTAAAGAGCACAGTAGAAGAGATAAATCAAGTGAAAGAGATAGAAAAAAGTTAAAAGTCAATAGAAAAGAATATAATAACAAGGATTATGATGACAAGAATAAAAGAAAAAATTATGAAAAAGATGACAACAATTATAAAAAAACAAAAAAAGTATAAAAGTTCTATGTAAATATAATATAAGTTTATATTAAAACTAATAATCTTTTAATTTAACAACCATGTATCTATGTATTCTTTAATTTTCTTCACTGTTTCCAAAATTATTAGTTTCTTCCATGGTAGTTTGAATTATTAGTGACTTTCTATTCATTTGTGAAGTTGACACACAACTGTCTTCTTTTTTTAATATAGGTTTTTTCACATTAGCTTTCTTATGTAAGTAATTAAGTTCAAGAGTAGATTTCAATAAGTCAACTTTAGGGAGTTGCAGTGATGCACTTCGAAGATCGCTTTGGGATTTAGTTGCTGGTAGTAGTTCTTTATCCAATGATGCTAAAGATCCACGATGGTTAAATTTAATCATTAAGCTTAAACGTCTAGCCTCAGCTTCTAAATCAGACAAATCTTCTTTATTGTTTTCTTCAACTCCTTTAAGAGATTCAACTTCTGATGGTTCTACATGAAAAAAAAAAATTTATAAATAATTCGGGTTATATAATTAATAAGCATATGACACATGCTATTCATTAAAATAAATACAATTTACCAGATTTCTCAGTATTAGTTTGATCTTCAAACTTGTGAAGCCACATACAATGTAATAGACCATATATAGTACCACTTAAAATTCCTAGTAATCCCATTAATCTAAAAGATTGTCTTGTTCCATAGGATCCAATTAAAAGTCCTCCAATAAAACTTCCACTTCCACGACCTTAAACATTTTTAAACATTTTCAGATTTACTAATGATTGTAACAACAACAGTATTGTTTACCAAGACTGAAGTGGGACATTCCAATAACACCAATAAGTGTTGCTAGAAGATTTTTAGGTGCAAGTAAAGCACAATACGTTGCAGCAGCTACCCACATTAAATGAACTGCCAACGATTCAATTGCTTCAAATGGAAACACCCACCATGGATCTCTGCAATAAAATATTTCATACTATAAATTAAGTATTTTATAAATATTCAATCTGACCTTACTCAATAAACGAATAACCCATTAATCTAGCTGCGTGTGAAAAAAAGGCTATCACAATGATATTGACATGTCCAATTTTTTTTGATATTTTTTCCGCACCATACAAAAATGGAATACTACTAATTGTTGCTACAGATACTGTAACTCCTATAAATTTGGTTTTATTATTTCAACTATTTTTTTTTTTTTTTCATGAAACTCACCTAATAAATAATTAGAAGCACCCAATTCTTTAAGGTACAAAAATAAATATGACTCTATAAATCCCCAACAATTTCCAAGCATGAACAAAAAAAAAATAAACGCTGTTACATGTGGCAATTTTAAAAGTCTTAGCATGTCCTTTAAGATATGATCTGCAGGCATTTTAATGCCTACTGGCATCATTAATAATGTTATCATTGACAAAACAAGGAGAATATCATAAGTGTAGAACGCAGATGAATAATCCGTGTAACCTAATATTTGACAACATTCATTACATATTTTATATTTTTAATTTAAATTGTTAATATTTATAATGATTAACAATATAAATATATTTTTTTTTTTTGCATAATTGTGTTATACCTGTACCACAATAATTGTATACCTTTTTTTAAGCTCATAGAATCAATTAGCCAACCAGTGAGTGGAGAGAACAATGCCATGCCCACAGTAGAAAATAACCTTTCTCTTCCAAACTGTCCGCCATACCTTTGAATAAGGCTTAAAGCAATAGGATCCATTACTGTAACTGATGCTGCTAACATAGTAGTACCTATAAATCGTAGGCCAAAATAAATCCAAAACACTTTCTCGTTTGAGGGTTTGTACTCGGGTGGACATCGTTCCGGTCCACCTGTCCTATATTAAAAAATATTTTTATTACTGTGTATAATTATATAATGAAAACAAAGAACCAAAATATTAGACTCTAGAAGTAAGTTATATAAATAGTGTTCTTATACTACAGATATACATTATACATATTGGTTATTTTCTCAGGTATACCAAATTAAAATATCTAAAAGCCGGTGTGCCCCCATCCAATTGCCTATTATTACTTTATTAAAAAAATCAATTGAATTTTGCAAAAGCTTTGTAATTTTATACCAATTATCATAATATTATAATAGGTAACAATAATATATTACAATTTCAACCAATATTCATTAATCGTATATTTTTGTTTTTCTCGATTATTTTAAAACATACTGAGAATTTTCAATTTTTACCTCCCAAAACTACCAACTAGCTCCAATTTGCTTCCAAAAACCTCCATCAAAGTTGATGATCAGAAAATTTTTCCTACTATAGATAAGTTGAGAAGTTGAAATTTTCAAATATCTTACCTAAAATTATTATATTGTGCAAATTAAAAATAAAGTTGTAATTAATTGTCATTGAATTATTTTTTAATTAATTCAATATTCATTCAATCCAATGGGGGAGGAGGCCTCATTGAAAAACCCTGATTACTCCACCTCCGCGGTATATGTGTGGGGTGGGACACATGAGAAATGTAATTTAAACGAACTTATCTAAATATATCTGAGCAGTGGCGTAATTTGGTCATGGTTGTGGGGGGGGGGATGAAATGTATGTACATTTCACCAATTACCCCCCCCCCCCCCTCAACATTTTTTTTTTTAATCGTATAAGGCATAAGCTATAAGCAATAAGCACCCCTCAATACAAGAATACAACCATTATGATCTGTATGTAATAACTAGTACCTAGCCGGAATTATATTATTTTGCATATTTTTTTTGAGTCTATGAAGTCAGACGGGGGTTCGAAATCTTTACAAATCATGAAACAGGTGAGTTAATGGCAAAAGTTTATTTTGCATATTTGGGAATATTTCAAGATAAAAGAATATTTCGTATAATAAAAAATATTAGAGAATATATCGATTAATTTTTGTAGATGTTCGATATTTTTTGTTGCAGTGGCCTAAATAATATAAATAGCACATATAAAAACATTTTAACCGACCGTTGTACAAATATGACATCAGGGAACATGGAACAAAATATAGTTGTCAACTGTTTTCAAAAATTTTCTTAGTTAAAAATTTAAAATAATTAAATATTAAATCAAACTTTTCTTAACAAGTAGTATTTTTTATTATGTAGGTACCTATTTATATCAGGTTTTTATATTATTTTGCATATTATGTACCTATTTATTTATATGAGTTCGTATTATTTGCTTAATTATTTTGCATATAAATGCATATTTTTAGTTCAAGAGAATATTTTAATAAAAAAGCATTTTTTTTTGCATATTTCATTATTATTTTTAAAGAATATTGGAAGAATATTTTCAACTTTTTAAGAGAATATTAGCATCTTATTTTGGCTAATTTAAAAGAATATAATTCCGGCCCCTAGTAATAACTAATATTGTACCTATATACAGTGTGATCACGATTTTAGGTACCACTGAATATCTCAGATGGCTGACTTTGTATTGAAATGGGGTTTTCGGGAGGTGATAGCCGATAGGAAGCACTTAAATACATATTTTCAGACCAGTTTAAAATTTTTAGCTCACTCGGTATGCGCATGCGCAATTTGACTTACTTTTTGTTAAATGGCAACCCCACTTTTTTTCTTCAGATTCGGGTAGAGTATTTTTTTTAAACATTTTTTGTATTGAAAGTTTTTCTATTTATAAAACTGACCAAGTTAGAGAAAGTCAAATTTTGGATTTATTCATAATACATGTTTAATGCAATTTGGATTTATAACCAGTTGAAATAATAAAATAAGTGCCAAATAAATGTTTGATTAGGGGGGGGGGGGGGTGGCTGAGTGGACTAAGGCGTCGGTTGTGGCCGATTTCCGTCCGCCATTAAACATTTATTTGGCTCTTATTTTATTATTTCAACTGGTTATAAATGAAAATATCATTAAACACGAATTATGCATAAATGTTCAATAAATGTTCAAAAATAAATACTCTACCTGAATCTGCAGAAAAAACTGGGGTTGCCATTTAAAACAAAGTAATATTGCGCATGCGGCATGCGCGTACCGAGTGAGCTAAAAATTTGAAACTGGTCTGAAAATATGTATTTAAGTGCTCCCTATCACCTCCCGAAAACCCCATTTCAATACAAAGTCATCCATCTGTGATATTCAGTGGTACCTATAAAATCGTGATCACACTGTATATGATAATATTGATGGATGATTATATATTTGTATAATATTATGGAGATTCGGGTGATTTTTGTATTATCTATGAAATATATATTAATAAAATTAGTACATAAATGTGTTTGACGATTAAAAAAAAAAAAAAAAAAATGGTCAAGGGGGGGATACGACACCCAAATCCCCCCCCCCCCGTAATTACGTCACTGTATCTGAGTACGTATACTCATGTATAAGTACCTAAGTACCTAGGTACCTTTATAGTTTAGGTATACCACGAAATAGTAAATACGAACTACTACATAGTAGGTAGTCCGTGGCTTATACAGTTATACCTATAATCATTGATTATGAATTTAATACCTACCTACTATATAATAGTATTGCTAGTATTCATAATAAATGCTATAATAATATTAATAATATCACTGTAGATAGGTATACCTGAAAATACATTTTTGGAGCATGCAATCAGCAGCGAGTTCTTTTAGTTTGTTATACGTTAAGTTTGTAGCCAGCACCCTGCCGCCACATCGTAAATCATGATCGAGAAGTGCCGAAAAATTTACTCCAGACGAAACCAACATGTCCGACGAAAAATGTTGACGGAAATCCGTTACCTGTTCATCTTGATCGAGTTCGGGTAGCTCCATTCCTATATTATAAAACATGCAATATAACCAGAACATGATATTAATAGGTACCTATAATTTGAATGCAATACATCAGATATACCTAGTGGCTAGGGCTGACAACACTCCGCATTTTAGATTCTGAGTGAAACGATGAATGTATTGATTTTACAATGATGTGTGTTTTTATATTTATTTTTTTTGTGTCTGTGTACACGATAAGTAGTCGAA